ACAAGCTTGATATTCAATATATTTATTTGGAAGAAATGGGGAGATTGAATGTTTCCAGTAGAAGGTATAGAAATAGACCCCAAATTTAATCCCTCCTAAAAAATTTTACACCACTGGTTTCTCAGGCCTGAACTGCAAAACACTGTTGGCCATCTGTCAGCTAGAACTGACTATCTGCCACTAGCATCCATGAAGCAGTGTCACGCTGCAGCCTTGCTCCCCCATTCACAACAAGGCACCTGCACTGGGGTGCTGCAGTGACCTCCAGACCTTCCCAGCCCATCAGTGCGGGGACTTCTCTGCCTGCCTGAATGTTAACTACCTGCTTCCCAGGGGGAATCTTCCAAGCTGTGTAATACCTGTAACAACTAACTGCAGAACTAACTGGCTGTCAGTGAAAGCAGATCTTGAACAGTAAGAATCCCAAATTAACAGAAAAAAAAGAGCACTTCAATTGTGGTTTGCACTCAGTTGGAGTGCCCCACCCTCGAGCTGCTGGAGAAAAGAGTCAGAGAGATGGAAAAAGGGTTCTAAAAACAAAAATCAGGGCTGCCGGCAGTGGTAACCAAGGAGGACAAGTCTAAACTTCTCTGGAGGAGGACCTTTCTGACAAGCCCTGGATACACCTACCAAAAGCTGGGCCACTGCAGAGCTACAGCTCATCCAGGCAACCAAATGCCCAGAAACTGGCAGTGCTGCTAGTCCGGGGTTGACACCTGGAAACAGAAATTAAAAAAAAAAAAAAACCAACAAAAAACAAAACAAAAAAAAAACAACAAAAAAAACCCCAACTCAGTAATTAACACAAGGCCTCTATTCAGAACACGTACCTTATAATAGTGTGAATAAGAAGTGAAATGGTCATAGAATCTGGATTTATTAATTTTTCTTTATTACAACATAAACTCTTCTCAAATAACAGAAGAATTTAACAGTCTCCGGTTTATTAAATATTAGACTCAAAATGACATTTAAAAAAAAATTCTCCATATACCAGGAAAATCCCAACAGAATTTACAAAGCCACTGTAGTTCATAGGTACAGGAGATAAGGTTGTAATTAATCATACAGGAAATTTGTCATTACAGGTAGAAGGAAAACTACATGAATTCGTTAGGGTTTTAATCACAAACCTAGGATTTTTTTTCTTTAAAACGGATGCATTATTTTAAAAAATCATCGCTACAAAGAGGCACATGGTCTTTAGTTGATGGCATTAATTCTGTAACCCAAACAAGGAAACTAATCCACTTTGAGTGGCTAAATTATTTTTTGCAGTATTTACATACTTTACTGAAGTATTTTCATCCCCGAGACTCAGCAAGCATCTTAGAATATTAATGAGTGAAGCCTGGCAGCACTCCAGTGTTAGCACACAAAAAAGTAACTTCATTCCCATTTTATCAACAGGGAAACTGAGGCACCGGGATAATTCAGATTCGGGTAACTGCAGAAAGAAAACTCCTGGATCTTGATCCTCTAAGAGATGGGTCTTGATGGAGAGCCTAGTCTTCTTCCTCCTTGTTAGATAGCTGGTGACCCTGCTGCGCACTGTTTGAAACCTGGTCAGCTTTTTTCATGTTTAAATTGCCGCAAAATAGGTGATATCTATCCAGCTATAGTGTTATTATGTTCACCTTTATGGGAAAACAAAAGCCATTAATGGTTTTCCTTTTTAGATCAAAAAGCAACTGCAAGAAGTGCATCTTCAATCCCTCTGAAGACCTTTGGAAGGCTGTCTCGTTATACCCAAAATACTGCAATTGTTCCCTTGATCTGTGCAAAGGTAAATACTGAAAACCAGTAACTCTGAAAGGCAGAATTGCATTAGTTATAAAAAAAAAAAATAAATAAGAGCTAGTGCACAAGAATGTGAAATAAAAATACAGCTTTAAAGATAAAATGTCTATATGGATAGAGTAACTACGCTCCCAGAAGCTGTAATTTAAATTTTTAGGCATTAGGAACATTCCTTTGTCAATCAAGTATTTGAAACAAGTTAGCTGAGAGATTCTTAGCCAGGATGTGGCCTTTATAAACAAAGATGAAACGTTTCATGTGGTCCATAATCACAAGGCTTTTACTTCCTGTGACAGAAAAATATCATACCACATCAATAAGGTTACTCAAAAAGATCTTTACAAATAACTTGGCAATAATGTTTGCTGAATGACTAAAAGGGAAATAAAAACATTGCAGATCTGACACGACATGAATTTGCAAGTTCAGAAAATACCTAAAAAGCCAAAACTTGATATAGAAGCGTCCAGCATAAATACAGCAATTTTAAGGCCATTAAGGAGTGTGCCTAATTTATTCACAGAAATCTCACTGTTTACATTTTGGCAAATACAACATCTTAATGTGGGGAAAAAAAATTCACAGACCACTGCTGTCTCACAGCAGCAAGGCACAGCCAGGCAGCAGGGGACAGGACTGCTGGGAGCATAGATGATCCAGTGCCCTGGGGCAGGACATACCCAGTGTTGTCCATCATGCCCCAGTGACAGACTCTGGCCAGCACCAGTTGCCTAGAAGGTGTCCAACCTCAGAAAAGGCCCCCCCCAATTCACTATTAGACTTTATGCATGCTACAGAATCATTAGCAGTATCGTAAAATGAGCATGTAGGGCCTCACTTTCTCCAGGGAAGTAGACAGACATAAATAAGCTGCTTCTGTGGTTACTGCGGGGATCTCTGCCCCAGCGTCTGGGCTGGCTGACAAACTGGTCCCATCAATCTCTCCTTGTGGTCCTGACCGAAAAGTGGCAATTCACACTCTTCAGTGCAACCACAAATACTGCACAGTGATTTAAGCAGATTTTCTTGTTTTCAGCTCCAAAACGCTTCTAGAATATTCCTCATTTCTTCTTCTTGATTACTGCTGGTGCCTACCAGTGGCTCCCAACAGATGGCTTCCTTGCTGGCCAAGGAAAGACTGCACTATGGTATTATTTAGCAATATGCCCTGGAAGCAGCACTGGCTCTAGAAGGTTTTGGGAACTTCCCTCCCGTGGTTTGACAGAGCCCACCTACATCCCCAGAGGCTTTCAATGATACATCAGTCCCACTGCATTTAGGAGCTTCCAAAAACCTGGGGTATCTGAGTTTGGGATGGGTGCTCAGGTTGCAGAAAAGCCTCAAATACCAACAGGCAAAGTTGCACCAATTTGAACACAAACAGATCTGCCCACAGGGCTCCACAGACCCCCCCTCCCAGTTAAAGGAGGTCAGTCATCATCCACCCAGAGCACAGAGAAACACTTCACCTCCCTGGCCCAAGACAGTCTCTGTGGGAATGCAGAACCTGCCAGAACCTCCTCTCGCACACATCCCAAGAGCCCCACTTGTGTTCTGCAAGATTATGCATGTCCCCTGTACCACCTGACAGCAGAGGACATAGAGGCTAAACTCTTTTAAAAAAAGAGTGCAAATAAATATCCATATACAAGGGGCTTTAGGGTATCTACCACCACCCATTTTCCCACAGTACATTCTGGTTCAGACAAGGCAGGAGGCATTTTAATGCTACTAGAAAAAAGTCTAGGCTGAAGCTTTAGGAGAGTTATCAGCACAGGCCCAGGCTGATGAGTACAGACTGTCATATATAAATATAGAACCACACACACCTCAATTATATAATTAGTTTTATCTATTTTTATATATATGTATAAATTAAGTATACATATGTGTGTGTACATACAGACACACATGCATAAATCTCAATAGTCCCTCTGTTGAGAAACCTAATACAAATCTCTTAAAATATACATCAATTATTCAGATATCCTTAAGTAGAGCAATGTATTCTGATTGGGGTTTTCATAAATATGAATTCAAATTCTCCATGGTAGTCATCCTTGTGGGAATAACAACATAGTTGCCTATGTTGTAAACTATAAATATTGAAGAACAGGTATAGCCAGCATAGTAACTTCCAGGACAAACAGAAGTGATCAGAACAGAAAACCAAACTAGAACACATGGCTCTAAACCATTTGTATTGCCAACACGTGCAAGTGCACAGGACCTCTCCAGTCCTCCCCGCCCCCCAAAAGTCCCTTTTAAAAGCTTTCTGTAATTCTGACAGGGGCTACAATTGAAACAATTTAACCAGGTTTAACAAAAGCAGAGCATAATATTTTTTATAATGGATACAGTACAAGAAAAGAAGTCATGTTGCAAAATCCAAGAAAATCCCTCAAATCTGGGGACAGTGTGTTATATATCTCCTCCCTAAGAAATGAGGGCAATCTTTTCAGTCCATCTGTGTAATGCTTTTCCCTATTCAGGGTTCCTAAATATGCTCTTAAAATGACTTTTTATAAAAATACAGTATAAACCAATACGCACAACACTGTATTTTGTTCCAGTTAGATTACAACCAAGTATGACACAATTGCATTTTTAACTAAAAGAAATGTTCCAGCTACAAACACAAGGATGGGTGAGGTGTTTTGAGGTATCTGTTAATATCCCATCTTTTCCATAAAACACATTCCTATTCTAACATGATGAATTGCCTCAGTAGTACTGTGCGCTACTCTCCCCAGATCAGAGGAGGTATGCTGGTAGCAGATGGCTACACACAGAAAATAGGAAAAAAACCCACAGAATACACTACAGAGGAGTTCCAGGATTCTAGCAGGCACCTATACAATATCAGGAGTTTCATAAAGAAAGCATTTGACTTTTCTTTTCTGCAAACTGCGTTGTACATGACCGAAGCAGAGCATGAACAACAAAGTGCCCTCTTCACATGACATTATAAATCTACTGTGAACCCTGCATGGCCCATTAACTTTGTCTCTAGACCAATTCTCCAGAAAAACTGTAATCCCATTAAACCTCCTGAACATCTTTTATTTTACAGAAAAGAAAATGAAAGCAAAATTTCACATGTCCATACATTGGTGGTACAGAAAAATAACCGAGTCCTCATGTCTTAAGCACAAAAAACAACTGATTAAAGAAAACATGGTCCAGATGATAAAGTGCAATTATTATTTCAGTTGTGCTAAAAAGCTTTCCAATTCTTCTTGGTGCTTTAACTCAACATTTAATTATAACTTTTTTTTGCTTCTGTCCCCATCTTTCCAGTACTGTTCAGTCTGCATTTCTGTAAGCCGTGAGACAGTTCGCTGAAAGGCAAAGATTTCCTCTTCTCCTGTAAACATGGAGAGTCCTTTGGCAGAATCCTACGTTAATACACAAAAACAATACCACAAAACTGTGAGAGACGTAGGTGTACTGAAGTGCATCCTGTCTAACTCCTAAGGCTGAGTGCTTTACAGGCTTTGACAACAGGAGACAACAGCATGGCACTAAAAAAATAACGTCCAAAAATTCAAGAAAAACACCTATTTCAGCTAGGTAATCCTCCGAAGGAACATAGCAACACAATAATTTGGATTTAAAACAACATGATAACACGTTAACCATCTATTTTCACCTGTTGACTAACTGTATACTGATTTAGACAAATAATTTAAAAATTCATTTACAATAACTAGGTTATACCGAAAAGGAAAACCAGAATAAGCACATGCAAATAGTAGTGTTTGTGAGGATTTGTGGGGCAGTCCTAGACAGTCTAGGAAGAGGTAGAACCGACCATATTTTATTTATATATTTTAAATAAATAAACTTAAATCAGTATTTTCATACATGATTGAACAGATATAATGATTAACAATCAAAATGACCCTAAAACTTACACAGAATGGTTCTGTATATTATGACATTTTCTTTGACTATGAATAAATAACGTGCAATTATGAGAGCAACAGATATACTGCAGAAAAAGCAGCAAATCACTACTTAAATGTTTACTTGATTCCTCTTCCTAAAATGCTGCTGTAATTATGAGACCAAAACCAATTTTGTTACAAAAGGGAGACGATGCTAATGTCGTGTACCTGGCTCAATTCCAAATCATCCATCAGCACTCTGTTGTCCTCTAGCTCACCATTGTTATGTTCTACCAGGAACAAGCTTTGGAGAGGAGTCACTGCAGAACAAATAATACGCACCTGAGAGAAGGAAAACAAGCAATGATATCATCACTTGGGCTTTACAGAAAAGGGATAAAATAAGTTTTATGAAAAGCAAACTTCCAATTATGAGGGTTTTTTCCAGGTGTTTTCCCTTTCTCTTATTAGCACTGCTGTTACAAATTTACCTGACTTAGTCATTTGGAATATTAACCTTACAGGATCTTTTTCTCAATAACTACTCATGTAACTTTTGCTCAGAGAACAGCATAACTGTACTATTAAATACTCAGAATATCTGCTATACAGGCAACGAGTTCACAATCAAGTTTACTTTCTAAAATAACAGCCATAAAGTATTAGTAACAAATGCTCTCTTTTCCCTCATAGCTAGACTCCTCTGAGTAGGTAAGTGCACTGCACACGTATTTTCATCTGAAGAATGTTTAAATTCCAAATTTCCCAGAAGGCTGAATTGAGCCACTCTTGTTTTCACTTATGATACTCAAGCACACATTATTTGCTAATAACAATAATGATGTTATTTTCACATCTGCTGGAAGGAGGGAGATACAATGTGCAGTGATGTACAGTTATCTCTGGGGGGCTGCAATGAAGACAGACTGAAATATTATTACAGAAGGAGACACTTGTTGAGAGCATGCAGGCAATATGCTTGCATTGTGGACAGGTCACCACAAATATGCTCTCTCAGGTAGTTTTTCCAAACAACTATTTGTGACAGGAGTTTAACACTTGTGTTTTTCTTATGGAGGAAGTAATAGAAAGCAGCTATTTGCTTGCAACTCTTAATGACAGTACATAGATGGAGCAGAGCACTGGCTCCCCTCCATCCCCCGGTTTCTAACACTGTAATTATTTTATAAATATTAGCATATCCTCTTAGAAACTGTCCATTTCCAAATCAGAAAGCACAAAGAATCTGGCTGACTTGAATAAGACTAGTCATATGTTTAACTAGTTCAATACCTTGCTGTATCAGGGTCTTCCTTACCATCTTGCCAGGACTTTTTTGAGAAAAAAACAAACAAACAAACAAACAAACAAAACCAAAACCAAACCTGTCAATCGATATTTCCTGACTGCATAAATATTTCAGTGTGTGCATATATAATCACACATAAGATAGGGTTTCATATCTTGTATTACTTCTTAAAAAATCATCTTAAACATGAACTTCTCTTTGTTTTAGTAGTGCTGATTTTGCTTCCATGATTGAAACCTCTGTAACTCCATGTGAAGTGCTGCATTTATCATTACCATTCCATTAGCAGTTCTGCAACCTCATGTAAAGCCTACACTGACTGTTTTCTTTAAACTTAATTATGTAACTATGCTATTAACTCCTCTGTACCCTCTTCAGGAAGGCACTGATTCCTGACCAACTGCCCATACAGATTAAAATTTGGAAAATTTACATTTACTCCAGCACAGCTGGCAGCACAATCTTTATTAATATTATGACATGGCTTCTGCGGTTTTCCTGGGTTGGGAAAGAAATAACATCCCTATTCAAGAAAGGCAAATAAGCTCAGGCTTATATTTATGGTCATGCTTAATACTCCCAGAAATCAAAAAAAATGCCTGCTTATTTGCCTTTATTGCAATGGGGCCCTTTTGTGAAGCTGGAATGATGTTTCTTCGCAGTGCTAGTTCGTTCTGCTTGTGTTTTCCAAATCATCACTACAGAAGCCTTACTTCAAACCAATTGTAACAGCCAGGTTTTAGGGCTCTCAGTATTATTGCTATACATACAGGAAACGTTCACTTCTCACCTTATGCTCATAAAAGGTATCAATAAGAGTAATGAAACGACGAGCCTGTGTCCTTTTTGCCATTGTAAGAAGTGGTATGTCACGAACAAAGGCCGTGTCAAAGTGCTTTGATATTTCCAGATAATCACTGGCCCCAAGAGGCTGAAACAAAACAAAACATAAGAAATGGAAAACCATGACAGAATGATACATAAACACTGCATCTTGAAATACTACAATTACAGAACAGGGGGTATAAAATCCTGATCATGGTGTTTTGGTTTTTTTTTCATATCTTGCTTCTGTAATGCTTGTTTGCCCTTACTGACATACGGGTGCTCATTCATATTGTTGGCTTTACCTGAACAAGGTTCGATAATTAAAAACATGTCTCTTCTGCATCCTGACAATGTTATGATCTGACAACCTCAAACAAAATAGTCACTATAAACCACAATCCGTAGAAGAAAAGGAAAAACACGTTTAAGCTGCAAAGCCAACCTAAGGCATAAGTAATTTGAACAGCTACTAGGATGCTTTCCAAAAGCCAGATTTTTAAATGCAAATGCATAGGCTAGTTGCTAAATCATAGGCAGACCTGCATTTAGTTCACCCAAGACTAACCCAGACTGAATAAAAACCTTATGTTCTAAGTACTGAAAGCAACGGGAAACAGACAAAAATACAATTTTGCAGTAGTTCGTTGTTCATAGTTTAACCTGTAATGATGAAATAAAAACCTTTAATAAGAACTTAATAGTTTCTATTCGTGTTATCTAAACCATCAACAGAAGATATGCACAAATAGTAGTAGCTCATTCAAGTTCACATCCAAATACATTCATTTAAAATTACTTTTTAATTATATGGAAGGTAATCTTTTTCCTGCCAGATCTACCCTATCAGTACTGCAGGCAGTACTTGAGCTATTAAGTCATCATATTTAGGAGTAAACTTCATACTCCTGAAACTCATCCCAGTAGTTTTACTTGTGCAAGTCCTTCAGTATCTTGGACACAACTACTCCACAGAGCAAGATCAACATTTTGCATGATAATGTCACAACAGCAGTATTTAAGAGCTGTATATGCTATATCCTCTCCTCCAAGTTATACATACTGTTTATTTTCTCCCTCCATTTCAGTTCCCCAGCCACTATTATGGACTTCTTAACCAGAAACCAAGAAACTAATCATCATGAGGGCCACCACCAACAGCTTCATGCATCACCTCTGAAAAATCTCTTCTGGACAAAGAGTAGCCGAACTTGAAATGTTTTGATGAAATAAAGCATGAAAAGGTTAAAAAAAAAAAAAGGTGAAAGGAATTGGTGGATGGAAACATGACAGAGCTAGCCCACTGCATATCTCACCATCAGACACAAGTAATAGTCAGCTGGACAACAGTCATCTCAAGTGCAAAAGAAAACAATGGAAGTGCTAAAAAGCAGCACATACTGGGATGCTGCTGGAGATTTATTTAAGATTGGTGGTAAGCAAATGGTTTGGGTAATGGTAATTTTTATTCCATACTTAGGACTGAAGTACTGCTAAGCACAGAGGAGACAAAGTATGCCTGTGTTCTCAGCTCCTGAAAGGGACAACAGCAGTGATCTAATTGCACGCGAGAAAGGTAATAATTTATAATTTCTCCCTTTAGGTAAGAAATTACAGACATCACTGTTATTCAGGTTCATTCTTTTATCACATGAAGAGCCCAAGCACTCCTCTGACAAAGCCCAAGCCCTGAGGAATTGTTCTGTCTTGCTCCAATGTGAGATACTTTCTCATCCAAACCGTAGGAATGCACTCTCCTCATTTCAAATACAAAGTATCAAATATCAAAATCTGATTCCTAAAATAAATAAATAAAATTAAAGGCTTCAAACTTTTGCAAAACCTGCAAACTGAAGCGCCCAACTGCTGAGCTATGCATCTAAGAACTTGGTCAGCACCTTGGTGGATATCCAGACATGAAAATGAAAAACCTGGAGAGCTGGAGGGAGGAAACAGGTGGAGGACAAAAATAAGGCTAACGCACTTCAAATGGGAAGAATGGAAGATGGAATACTTCCTTTGCTTTTTATACAGACATAAAACCACAGTTCACAGAGGGTTACAATATGCATCTTTATCATAGCCAAACAAGAATTTAATCTACTTCAGCAGTCCAAAAAGCAGGCAATTCAAAAATTCCTTTAATTAAGGACATAAAATGCAGATCATTTCAAGCTGTTTAACAAGAATTTCTGAAACACCTACACCAGTGCTAAGTGATAATATTCTGCAAATGTTGGCAAAAATGTGCTTTTGGAGACTCCAAAATCTTATGATCAGAAAGATCCAAGCCTAGCAGCCATGACTATTTTAACAGAGTAAGCTTGTACCTCCCTGCCAAGACTCAAGTCTGGTGAGACGCAACTGAAATTCCGAGTCAGCCAGTCTGTTGCTGCATATGGGTCAGCTGGCATCAGCTGTAATTCTTCACACAGGAAAGTTCTCAAACCCTCCCATTCCTTTTAAAGTTTAGAAAGGCATAACCCTGGAGATGAAGACAAAGCTTTTAATCTTGTTCTCAACACTACTTACTCTCATCTTGGACAAGTCCTTTAATTTCCTTCTGCCTTATTCCACTGTAAAAAGAAGGAACAACCACCAAATTTGCAAATGCTCCGGGGATAGTTTAAAGCCCTTTATGTATTCCTCTAACCTTGGTATTGGCCCAATTTCTATGCTGCTGGCATGTAACAATTGTCACTTACCATTTGTTACCAGCTCTTTCACATGCAGCAATTTTTTTTTTTTTTTTAAGCATTAACAGATAAGATTCTTTCTTATGGCATTATTGTTCCTGCATGTGCATAGCACGTGAAACTGTTGTAGATTTTTGTCATTAACTCTGATGCCAGGAGTCAGTATTTTATAGGCATCATACTAATGCAAAACGCATTAGCACTAACCCGGACTACCCTCCTGACAGAGTGTTTACTCCACTTCGGCCTGCTTGACTGAGTTCTCACCTTCATTTGTTTTTGCTTCTCTGTCTACTTAATGCATTTTCAGCTATCATCATCTCAGTTCAAGTAGGATGTTTATTATTTGGAGCTCTCTACGGACTGTTTTAAGAGTTGGTCGTCTCCTGTTTCTACTATATATTCCATTTAATTAAAGTATCTTTCTTCGTTGTTGACTCATCAATGACAACATAGCTCATCTTTCAGAGGTTGTCTGAAGAATACAGAATGCTTTACATATGTTAGGAAAAGATATTTCATCTCAAGAAAAAATTTATTTTTCTTCATGTTGGAAGATATTCCCGGGCCAGTTCAAATAACATCCTGAAGAGTTGTGATTGACAATAACTACAGTTTAGTGCAGACACTCCAACACTGCAAAGCTTCCTAAAACCAAAATACATTTTAAGACTAGATATTTACAAGTTAGACATTAAGCAATAACAAAAAATTACAGAGCTCTTTCTGTTGTTTCCAAAGGAGCCACACTATCACTTGTAGGGCTGATAAAATAGAGCACTGAGGTAATATTTCAAGATCATCATTCAAGAAAGGAATAGAAAAACCTAAGGCATGATCTGTGATGCAGCTGCATGCTGAAGTATAAATAAAAAGGTAAGATAGTTAGGGCACAGCTAACGATTAGAAAATTTAAAGACACTGATGGCAGTGCAAACCTATTGGAAAGCTCTGTAAGTTACAGGCAAAGATGAGAAGTTCATTTGAAGCATTATTAATAAACTGAGAATTTAATTAAGAAGGCAATTTCTTATCAAGTTTTACTAAAAGTTTCTGGTGGTCAAAAAAAAAAAAAAAGGCATATCATTGTGTAATTAAAGATCACATTGGAGGGCATACTGAGGAAAGATTAAAATAACATGTAATTTTGTTTTGGAGCTTCCTAACTAACCACTATGAGTTGGCCTGCAACTTTAAAATCATTACTTTAGCTTGTTTGAACACTACTTGACATGAAGCTACACAACTTGTTTGTTAAAAGATTCACTAATTGATTCATTATTCTTTTAAATATTCTTTAATGTGTGTTTTAGTTACTAAGAGGGAAGGCACCAATAATAAACAGGCCAATGCTGTTTCCAGCAGCAATCACACAAATGAAAGCTACGTTTTAAAAACATTATTAAAGCTGAAAAGTCAGACACAGATGTTAGACAGCAGTTGCCTGTACACCCTTAATCTTTATCTCTTGGATATATCTGATAGTCTTGATTTACATTAACTGATGCTTCCCCTCTCCCAGGACCCTTGACTTACCAGTATGCAGAACAGTGGTTCTCATATAATGCACACTTATCAACACATGTTTTGTCCTCACTTCTGGTATGTCACAAAATCTCATTTTTCATGGACTTTTCAAATGCTTGTGTGGAAGAATTATGCATTTCTTCTTCAGCTTTTGTTACCATAACAGCTAGGTACTTCACCTGCAGTAATGAGTTTATCTCTACAACTATGGCTGTGAATCAAGGTATATCATCTTCATTTTACAAGCACAGAACAGAGACATTAAAGTTAAAAGCATATGTAAGCTCTTGATGCCAGGTTAAGGACCTCTGAAAGCTGATTTTTCAGGTTTCACGAACACTCACAATTCAAACTACAATGTCCACTGACTTCAGTTAGAGCCATGACTACGGCAGTCTAGGATTCAGTGCCTCAAGAAGAATGTCCAGAAAATTAAAATTACAATTGCCAACAGCAAAGAAGTGGGGGTTCGACTGGGTTTTTCTGGTTTTTTGTTTTGGTTTGGTTTTGTTTTGTTTTTTAAATAAGAATAGTATAACACACTAAGTCTGGTGCAGACTATGACAGAAGCCAATTATGCAAGGCAGCATTAGCTGTATGTGAACATGTAATTACAATATCACATAGCAATGATTATTACTGTAGTACCTATGCAGGAGGGACAAACTCAGAAAACACAAGCAACAGTCATTTTCAAATTTCCTAACTGCATTTTGGTCTTGATAGCACCTTAACTTATACCTACTACACATCCTTTGTGTAAGCTGTTTTCCAGCTTTGACACTCGTATGGATGATCAGTAGAGTAGGAATCTGAAATCTATAAACCCTGGACTAGAAGGTGTTTTCTGGATCAAGTGCAGCCCCCTGCTGTCTCAGGTTAC